TAGTAGACTAGGGGACCGTAGCATTAATATCGACACCGCGAGAACATTGTCAATAAATCAATCCAGTCGACGAACGTTTAGAGATAGTTATAAAGGGCTTGTCTTACAGGCGAACTCGACCCCACAACAGACATACATCAGGCCATTATAGATCGTCATTAATCTTTTAAGAGACACGCACGTCCCTGCTGTGCAGGGGCTTACGTAGAAAGTATGAGGTGGGAACTTTTTATTTGCTATTTATTGGGACCCTTGCTTTAATTTTTTTCTCAAATATGTCATAATAAGAAAAATTAAGTTCAGGGTTTTGTACTATTGTTCTATCTTGGCGGCTCTGCAGTGCAGTTAACACTACTCGAGTCTTCAAATCGTTGCGCTCCCGGCTAAAGTGAACGAACACGTGCGCGTGAACGCCAGTGGCATCCATATAACGTAGACAGGTAGCCTATATGTCACAACGTTACCGAGTTGATCTGTGTCTCTGCGGAGGACGTATAGAATAACTGTCCCCGTTACTGAGCTGATCGAGGTTAATGCTAAAAGCGACTTATAAAAACAGCCCAAAACATTATTTTCACGAAATCAATCGGATTCGAATGCGGAAAAGTAAAACAGATTCTCAATTCTACAAACTAATCGTCGAACTACTGATATAACTATGATGTTTCTTCAAACTACCTGTGCATTGTACATAATGGCGTTGAATTATTATGCAGTCGTTGTGTAAAGGGTTCGTACCTAACGCTGGTTGCATTATTGCGGCGACGCGGTGACACGTTTACCTGTGTTGGGAGATATGAGATTGAATAAATCGTTGGTGCTGTGTGAGATTCGCAAGTATCGGCTAGATCTCATGTTACACGCAGAGTCTACATGTGCGTGGCTTCCACGTCCATGATTGAACTATCGATAGAAAAAGATCGCTCACGGGCGCAGACAGGTAAGCGTAACACATGTTTGTAGACGTAGAAACATCTGAATAGAAACGAGAAGACGAAGAAGAAGAAGAAGAAGAAGAAGAAGAAGAAGAAGGGGGGAATAGCATTAATGTCACTGACCTAGTAGGGACAGTAAATCACGACTGTAAGCTTATCAATTATGCATCATTACCTATCGATATCCCTAATGTATTGCAGCTCCATATCGAACTGAACTGCTGAGTTCAAACGCATTTGCATAATTGTCAAGCGATATCCACAGTGTATCCCAGCCCGATATCACTCTGAGCTCGGATATACGCATGACTGGGATTTTTAGCAATTCCATGTGTGCGCGTCGTGGTGGGGTTTACGAAGAGTTACGATGCTATAGAACTCGTATCAACTCGCATGCGGAATTAGTCGCTGTCTTGTTGAAGCGATCGACATACTTGCTACGCTGAATCTGTTCGCTGACGCGAAAGCTAGATATATTATATCACAGCTCGATTGTATGCCAAAAAATATTAACCCATGTTTTCCTTGCCCGAATTAAATATCAAACTTTTTGTTTTTCACGCAAGAGCAAATAATTACTATGGAAATAATATAAAATAATAATAACGTTTTTATCAATTTTAATCTGTTATGCTATAGGACCTTACTTCGTGCTACGTGTAATTATTATCGTAAAGTGCAGCTGGAGCATATAGATGTTGAATTCTATAAATACATGCGTTTTTGTCAACGTTGCCCTTGGTTAAAACAGTATTGGTATCGTAATAGAAAGTTGTTAGAAAGTGTTGTGCGACTACTTAGGAAATGTTTCACAAAAGACACTCGTAAATCACACATGAAATCAAATTCCTGGCTTGGCACAAAACATTCGTATCGTTTGACGAAGACAGTTAATGGCTCTGAAACATTGTGAAAAATTTCTAGCTCTTGTATGATATCCAATAAATTCCAATTCATATCACACACGTACGTGCGCGCATACACACGCGTATGTGCATAGCCATGAAAGGGTAAGACAGTGCGGAGTACTACCCGGGAGGAGTTGACGGCAGTGCGCGAACGTGTCGTAACGGAAAAGGTGTTCGATCTCGAGATGTTTGATGTAATGCGATCTCAATCGGGAACATCGACGCGAACAGCGCATTTCGTGAAGGATTATTTATTTATATTTTTTCTTGATAGCACGACCATCGTGTGTGCATGTGCGTGCGCGTGTGAGCGTACGTGTGTTACCGGCGGATATATAGGGGCATCAGAAAAAAACGAATAGAAACTTCGAGGCAATAATCCACGCGCAATACAAACGTCCATTTTGCTTATTATTTTGCTAATTTACTGCTCAATAGAGACCAGAAAAACTTCTGTGACTTACAGACAAGTATACAGGTGAGTATACAAGACAATTATATAAGACAAGACAGACAAGTGAGTCACAAAAGCTATTACAAACGACGAATCGCTCGTATTACACTGCAACACATGTTTATTCTGCTCTCTACTCGAGCGAGATAGTGTACAACCATAGAAATAATATAGGTGTCTCTATATATTTCTATGTGTACAACCCATTGTCACGCGTTAACAAAGCGCGAGTTCGTGCGTGCGCTCAACTATAATAACAAAGTAGGTGGCAGCACAATAATGCCATGTAGTTTGGAGAGACGTTGCGACTGACGTTAAGATGCATAATCCTGCTGCCCGGATTCTGTTGAGAGGTATAGATCTCTGTTAGAGTATTTCCTTTTTTTGTTTGTTACTGACTTCAGTGAAAAAGTTGTAAAATAATACAAATTATTTGTTGCAGTATTGCAGTATTTGTGGAAAATGACACTAACGAGAACAAGTGTGCAAGTTCAAATGACTTTATTTAGTAAATGTAACATATCGCATTCTAGATTCAGTGCTACTCTCTTCTACTTCCCGCAATAGTTTTCAATGCCAAATTTGTTTCTTAAAAAAGGGAGATGTAGCAATATGCACGTGACTCATTATTCAGATAATCCTAGTAACTAACAATACACTTTCAACAATACAGTGTGTATTGTTGAACACCTTCTAACAATACACTGTGTATTGTAGTAGGTACCTATGAGCTTTCAACAATACAGTGTGTATTGTTGAACACCTTCTAACAATACACTGTGTATTGTAGTAGGTACCCAACAACTGTGTATTTAATTTCAATTTAATTTTCAATAAATTCAATCAAATCAATCAAATAATTTCAATAAATTTATTTAAATAAATGTCAATTTCAAGTTTACAAATCAAAAAGTAAACTAATTAAAAAAAGAAAAAAGAAAAAAAGTGTATTGTTAGAAGGTGTTCAACAATAAACAGTGTATTGTTGAAAGCTCATAGGTACCTACTACAATACACAGTGTATTGTTAGAAGGTGTTCAACAATAAACAGTGTATTGTTGAAAGCTCATAGGTAGGCCTACCTACTACAATACACAGTGAAGAAGGTGTTAGAAGGTTAGAAAGTGTTCGACAATACACAGTGTATTGTTGAAAGCTCGCTAACAATACACAGTGTATTGTCACATGCCTAAACATACAACACACTGTGTATTGTTAGTTACCAGGATTATCTGCAGCATTATTGTGCGGCCACCTACTTTGTTATTATAGTTGAGCGCATGCACGAGCTCGCGCTTTGTTAACGCGTGGCAGTGGGTTGTACACATAGAAATATATAGGGACACCTATATTATTTCTATGGTTGTACACTATCTCGCTCGAGTAGAGAGCAGAATAAACATGTGTTGTAGTGTAATACGAGCTGTTCGTCGTATGTAATACTTATCTGTGAGTCACAGAAATGATACATGCATGTGAGTGTGCGTGTGCCTGCGTGTGGGTATGCGTGCGCGTGTGCGTGTGCGTGCGTGTACGTGTGAGCGTGTGGGTATGCGTGCGCGTGTGCGTGTGCGTGCGTGTACGTGTGAGCGTGTGGGTATGCGTGTGCGTGTACGTGTGCGCGTGTACGTATGAGCGTGTGTTACCGACGGATATATAGGGGCGTCAGGGCCATGTCCCCGTAAAAAATCAATATAAGAAAAACGAACTAAAAAATCCGAGGCAATTATCCACGCGCAATACAAACGCCCATTTTACCAAGAGCGTATTAAGTATGCTTAATACGCTCTTGATTTTACTTATTATTTTGCCAATAATTTACTGCTCACTAGAGACCAGAAAAACTTGCCGCCTGAAGCAATCAAATGCTTGGATGTATTTCGTAGCGGGAGCTTACAGCGTCCCCAATATCTTCCCTAGCTGGCGGTATTTGGCGCCCAGTTACCTCACTTCTGAATCTGCTAATCGCGCGCGCGTGTGTGTGTGTGCATGCGTGTGTGTGTATCTGTCTGTGTGTGCGTATTCGTCATTGTCGGTGACTGCTGCGCGCTGGCGCTAAACTGAATTCATTGTAAGAGTTTACATAACGTTCCTTAATAACAATTTATCTTTATGTCTGCATTTACTAACAAGTTCGTTTCTCTTGTTCAGTGTTGCGGTTTCAGGTTTACACAATATGTAGAACTTCTCTGTTAAGCATAGGTTGCATTTCTTCGTAGTGTTCGAGTAGTGTGGCGCTTTGCTCAGTATCTTCCATTTAATCGCGTAGTCTAGGTTGTTGTCTTTCAAGTTCCAAATATGTTTACTAAGTTCTGTCGAGTTCCGTTTTGATTCCGTAGTAAAGGATGCCTTATGGTTCGCTAGTCTTGCTTTGAAGAAGGTAGCTGTTAGTCCGACGTATGTTTCTGTATTGTTTTCGCTTGTCACTGTTGCTCGGTATACTATGTCTTTAGCAAGGCAGTTTTCATCCAGGGGGCACGTTACGTTTTCCGGGCAGTTGCATTTTCTGTTGTTTACCGTTTCCGTGGTGATCTGCAGTATTCTTCTGTTGTTTCCCTCTATTATATTCTTCACGTTCGGCATGCAGCTGTACGAGATCTTAACATTGTTCTTATTGAAAATCTTGTGGAGTTTGTTTTCTGGAGGGAAGCACTTATTTACGATTTGTAAAAATTCCTTGCCGACGTTTGTTTTCACATATGGTGGGTTGTACCAAATGATATTGCGCGCTCTGTTTCTTCTTCCGGTTGCTGCTTGTGGTTTTTCGTAGCGGAGCTTGTAGTTATAGCCGTTGTCGTTTAATGCTTGTGACAACGGCTATAACTAAGGAGAACAACGAATATAACAACGAATATAATAGAGGGAAACAACAGAAGAATACTGCAGATCAACACGGAAACGGTAAACAACAGAAAATGCAACTGCCCGGAAAACGTAACGTGCGACCTGAGGACCGTTATGTGAACTCTTACAATGAATTCAGTTTAGCGCCAGCGCGCAGCAGTCACCGACAATGACGAAAAACGTAACGTGCGACCTGAGGACCGTTATGTGAACTCTTACAATGAATTCAGTTTAGCGCCAGCGCGCAGCAGTCACCGACAATGACGCGCTAATTAGTGTCTATGGCATTTCTTTAGAACGCGCACGCATGAACAATAGATCACATTATGCATGATGTTTTTATACTGCTCGGGATGTTCTAAATAGATCACTCTGTATAAGGCACTGATGAGTGTGGAGCTTTCGCTCCACACGAAACAGTTCTGTATGCAATAAACAGAGTCAAAATTACTACAGTGTCCGTATAACTTTATCTATATTTGCTCTACTCATGGTAGTATTTGTTGATTTTGAACTCCTATAGAATAGGATATTATATTAATAATTGAGAATAGGCTGAGAATGAGATAATATTCTACATTACGTGATTAATAGTATATATGTCAAGTTTAAAGGGAAATTCATTTTTACAGCCAGGGGCGTTAGCAGGTTAGTGTAGCACCTGTAGCCCGGGCCATAACTTTTTTGGCCAGTTATTCTTTTTTTTCTACAAAGCACCCTTATTCAAATCCATAGCTTGCTGAGTGTGTTTAAGGGGTCTAGACAGGGCAAAACTAGTTGTGAAAAATTGCTCGTGCAGGAGTATGGCTCAATTAGGTGACTATTCTATCTGTCATTAGGCTGTCATTTCTTATCGGCGTGCCGTTTCATCAAACACTATACCCGCCGAAGAAAGGACTAGGATCCTCGATCTGTCAGTTTTTTTAACATTTTTACTCGTTCGTAACACTATTTAACTCGTTGTGTGCTTTTTTGCGCGGTTTTAAAAGTGATATTGAATGACCGCGGATGTTCTCAAGGTTTTTCAAGAGGCCAGGAACAGAATGAAACACTCGGGAAGGGCCGTTTCGCCATCTGGATGGGTTTGTAAACCGAAAATCTTTCTTTGGTGCGCTTC